GCCTCTCCGCGCCTTCCCGCGGTGCCGCCTTGTCGCCTGTTGCCGGGGCAGAGCCCGCCTTCCCCTCGGTGCCCGGTCTTGTGTTCTGAGGCAAACGCTTTCTCGACCTCCCTCTCCACGCAGCTCCTTGAGCCTGAGCTTTAGCTAGGCAAGACCGAGGGGAACTTAAAATGGCAGTTTAAGCATAAATAGCGACTGTGTCGCTGGGGTTCCTCGTGTTCGGGAGCAGCTCATTGTGTCTGCCTTTCCGTTGAACGGAGATGGGCACCTGATTGCTGAGAGACTCTGAATTCGCAGGTTGTTTCGCAAGTACCTGCAAGATGCTGTGGTGGGAGGCGTACACAAAGAAAGCAGTTATCTGGCAAACATACGTGGTTTCTTTATTTTAAGGCCTGGTAAAAGGCATGATAAGAATAAATAGAAAAAAAGTACAATATAGTAGCCCACCTTGACACAGCAGGAGGCAGTGAATCACAGTGTAACAGAATAAAAATGTGGAGCCTTTAGTGCTCGTGAGAATTGAGAATGGGGCAACCACTTTCTTCTCATGTTTAACCCAAGGTGGTTTTTCTGCTTCATTCCTTAGTTAGGAGACTGGAAGTGCTAATTGTTCTAATAGTTGGAATTTTCCTTTCATATTTACAACTGCGCAGGGGAAGAGTTTCATCATTCTTCCAAAAAAATGAAGTACAGAATTGAATGTAAATGTGTTGTGTGGGAACGTCACTTGTCTTCCTTTCAACCTGTTCAAAGAAGTGATTTTTTTTTTTAAAGAGACTTTATGTTGTATTAAATAAAAAAAATTACCATGCTAACTTGTCTAATGAATCAGATCCGCATGGAAAATGTGCTTAGCTACAACAGCAACAAATACGGCATAAATAATGCTACTACAGTGTTCTCCCTTTTCAGTTTAGAGGGTGAAGAAACAGGTTTTCCTCTACAGATGCTACTGATTTTGTAGGTGTGGTATGTTTTTGCCTTAGAATCTAATTCTTGTGGAAGTTGTCTAAATTGCTTTTTTCTGTGGTTATGGGGTTCAGTTTATTGGCAGTACTATTAGCGCATTTTTGCGGAAGCTCTTTGTCGTAAGCAAAACTTCATTAAAATTAATATTTCCTATGTATATTGCTGTATTTCTACTGGTAGGCAATACTGTGACTCATCTTTAGTCAGAAAAATGTCATTAAAGCTCACATTGCAGGTGTAAACTGAAGTCTGTTTCCTTTGGGAGCTAAAACAAATTGTAAAAATGTTCTTCATATTGTAAATTCATTTTGCAATTGAATGTTTAAAATTCATCTTAGCATTTTATTTCGTTGTAGGTAATTTAAGTGACTTTCTAGCATGGACACTGTCGCTAGCCATAGTTGTCATCTTCTCCAGCAGCTACATGAACAGCGCATTCAGGGTCTTCTCTGTGACTGCATGCTGGTGGTAAAAGGTGTCTGCTTCAAAGCACACAAAAATGTATTAGCTGCTTTCAGTCAATATTTCAGGTATGTGATAGAAAATTCTTCTATTAAAAAAGTGAACTAAATGCTGTTGGTTGAGGTTTTCTCTGAGAAGGGTATTTTTTCTGGTAGTTGCAGACTAAGCAACTGTTGGAGTGTAAGGGGAAAAGTTAAATTGTTTGTCCAGAGATAAATCTGTATCAGGTATTTAATCTAATTAAAAACTGTGGTCATCCTAATTTATTTTCTAGATATACATAGCTAACTACTACACTGTTTGAGTTTGGCATTTTCTTGATCCTTACTTGCTTACAGTGCCTCATATAATGGATTCTGGCATGGACCTGCATTCAGTATTTCGGTATGAAAAGGTAACTGTTTACAAGGAGCATAGTAGAGTACATGAACAGAGCCAGATAAGGGATATAATTGATGAATCAATTATATGTTCAATATATATTAACATATATATTAACATATATATTATGTTAATTGTATACATATAATATATGTATATAATTCGTATTTATGAATTAAATAAATCATCGATTTCATCAATTATATATTCAAAATAAAACTTGACTATATAGGTTATTATTGAATCTCTACTTAGAACAGATTCTGAGAGACATCTGTGTTGTATACAGGTGGCCCATGAAGCCACACCACTGGTTTCTTTCCCCTCTGTATAGCCCTCATTGATCCTCCAAATTTTGGGGGATGCTGGATCTCCCAACTTAGTGTTTTACGTTAGTTATGAGTAAGCTGTTAGATCTGGCAGTTTTTAGACCTGGTTTCTTGAAACATCTCTAAAGCTTGACTACCAATTCTTATGTTAGAAAATTATTTTTATGTTATGACCAGGGAAAAAAGAGGAGAGGTTTTTTTTTCCTTTTTCTCTTCTAGTGTTGTAATCCTGATGATGAAGTGAAATTATGCTCAAAGACTGAATTTTTAAAGTAGTTAAAAAGAACTAAGCGCTCAACTCTTATTAAAATTCAATAGGATGTAAGTGGCTAATTAATTTAGACTCTCAACCCAGATCTGTTCATTATAGTTCTGGTTTTAATTTAGATAGTATAGGCTGGATTTATGAAACTGGATGTGGGCACTGGCTTCCGAGTAGCGTGTAAGTATGAGGATAGGGCAACGTAAGTATGAGGATGCATCTGAAACTGCATTTCTAAAGTTTAAGCCTAGACTCTCATTTGCTTAGGATTCAGAGCTCATTGATAATTATGCCCACCTTTAAACAAAACCTAATTTGAGAGTTAACCCACAGAGAGGAATCATCAAGTTCAGGGCATTTCCTAGGGTAGGAAAATAGCTACATAGGAGTGACCTGACCCCATTTATGTATCATTGTTTACTGTGAGAGTATCAGGTTAGAGACTGGGGGTTTTAATGGAAGGGTGTGAAGTTCTTGACTAAGGCAGAGTACGAACCCACTTAATCTAGGACTGGTTATGCATGTGAAGAACTACAGCTCTGATGCTAAGAATACTTTACATCAGATAGTAAGAAGACTTGTGAATTCAGACGCTTTAAGGATTCAATGACAATTCAGTGGGTATTGGTTGGACTGCTGTTTTAGGCTCATGTACGTGTACTCTTCGTTATTCTTTTACTCTGTTCTCATACAGTACCAGTAAAAAAACCACTTTTTTTTGGATATGAGAGAATATATTGAAAATAATGCCATCCTCTTGTTTGCTATTACCATCCGCTCATCTACTTGCAGAGAAAGAACTAATAATAAGAACTTTAATAAGTTTGATGGACAAGCTCAGTTGCCAGAAGAGAACAGTTTCTCCCTTTTACTAGCAAATTTCTCATGTCCTGTTTTATTTGCCATGATGGAAGGAGAAACACCATTCTGAGTCAGCCAACTTTTGCAAGTAGTCCATAAATACACCACTGCACCTAATATGTAAAGAACATGGGATAGGAAACCACAAGTGTAGGGTGTGATTTCAAAACATTAAAAAATAAAAAAATTAAGTTATATAAAGGACCATTTGCTTGGTATTAGTCCACTAGCGCAGGACTAATACATAAGGCAAGTAATTGAGCAGTTTTGAGATGTTCATCTGCAAAAACACAGCAATCTAGATAAGACCATATAGTGTAAATTGTTGTTTCATACCAGGCAGTCTTTGAGATGTATGTGTATTATTTTTTTTTATAAAAGTGTTTGTGAATTATTTGTGTTTGTGTTTGAATATTTGCCTTATTTTATCAGGACCCTTTTCCAGAATTCTTCAGGGCAGAAGAATGATGTCTTTCACTTGGACATTAAAAATGTAGGTGGGATAGGCCAGATCTTAGACTTCATGTACACCTCTCACCTGGATCTTAGCCAGGACAATGTACAAGCTATGTTGGATATTGCGCAGTGTCTCCAAGTGCAAAATGTGCTGAACATTTGCCACACCTTTTTAAAATCTTCTACAGCTGTAGAGCAAACAGCCAGCATGCCTTGTAACAGCGTATTTTCACTGCAGAATTCTTTGACTGCAGATACTAGCTGTGC